CAAAATCAAGCATCTCAGTTCTGAAAACCAAAAATCTAGACTACCCGCACGTAAGATAGTGGTGATGGACTTTTACATTGAACCGAATACAGGTTTTTGAATTCAAAATATCCCTTCTCATATATATATATATATATATATATATATATATATATATATATATATATATAATTATTTATTTAAAAATATGATTCCAAATCGCGACATAAAAAGTCTCATGTTTCAAAACAAGAGCCGTAAACTTCAATATAATTATTTGAATTAAATTGAGTTAAAATAAGATCTGTTGCATCTTCAAGCGAATTTTTTTTATTTTTTTTTTTGTAATAACTTATTTCTGAAATTTACGTGTTTTAATAATTGAAATCAAAATTTCCATGGTAACAGCTAGGGCGATTTGTTTAAATTGGTGTTGGGTGTTAATAATAAGTATCAGTATAGAGTTACTTTCATAGATGTCAAGTCAAGGTAAGGTGGGGGTGTCTAAATTTGAAACGGAAGATGTTTTAGCCTAGTCTGGCTTACGTGTCTATGGAGATTTATTTATTTATTTATTTATTTTATCTCTTTATGAAAGGGATTTGTTCATATAAAAACTGCCGTAACTTTTGTTTTTTGTCGACTTCATAAAGGGTTATCTTTTTTGTAGGATATTTAAACTATTTATTTGGACTATGGATTATAAAAGTTATTATATTGTATGCTTGTTAATTAGCTAATTATTCAAACCACGAATTTGATGATGTCTACAAAAAACCGTTAACTCATGTCTATTGTTTAATAGATTACTATTATTATTTAGAAACTTTATAATGTTACGATGGAAATTTTGATTTCAATTATTAAAACACGTAAATTTCAGAAATAAGTTATGCCAAAAAAAAAAAATTTCGCTTGAAGATGGAACAGAGCTTACTTTAACTCAATTTAATTCAAATAATTATATTGAAGTTTTCGGCTCTTGTTTTGAAACATGAGACCTCTTATGTCGCGAGTTGGAATCATATTTTTAAATAAATAATTATATTCATGTTCTATTTTTGTATCGAGCACTATTTTTTAAAAATAATAACTAAAATACTAAGGAACTTTGGATTATTTACCTAACCAGTTCTTTCCTATTTTCTATATATTTTCATATATATATATATATATATATATATATATATAAGAAGGGAAATGTAGGGAATTTAATTGAAAAATGTATTTATATCGTGAGCTAATTTTCATAACAGTCAAATACATATTTAACCTGACTGTGAAAGTCAAGGTAAATTATGAAAGATGCTAATTGATATTAATTTAATACATAATAAATGAAAGTGGCTAAATATTGTGTTTTTGTCGTTCTTTTTTCTTCATATATAAAAAATAATACAACAAAAGAATTCTCCAATTACCATATTAGTAAAAAAACGCACTCTTAAATTTTCAAAAAATTCAACCTTAGCGTTGTTAACAATAACAGATTTCTGAAAAAAACATATTTCGATTCACATCTAATCTTTCGTGTCCGTTACTACTTGGATGTATTTAAAAAAACAAAACAAATCAATTTCCATGCCTGATGATGTCTGTATGAACGGATGTAAGTACTAGCAAAAAAAAAAAAAAACTTTATACAAGTTGAATTTATTCAAAACCAGGGATCACAACATTCATCTAGAGGTTCGTGGGTTAATGTAGTTTTAATAAATTTGTTTGCGAAGATATATTCTCGCCATTTATATCATTAACTTCACTCATCTCTTTTTTTTGTATGAATGATTCATGTATATATATATATATATATATATATATATATATATATATATATATATATATATATCAGGGATATCTCTATGTCCAACGACAGAGCAAAATTACTATTTAAAGAGTAAGTGTTTGATATTCTTTAATTAATAATTATACATACATACATACATATATATATATATATATATATATATATATATATATATATATATATATTTGTGTGTGTGAAAGAAAAATATAATTTAACGCTATGCTATACTTATGGGTAAAAGTGATCAATATCGTGTGTAAATATAAAAGTTGACACTGCAGTCAACACAGGTAATAGTGCGTTTCATACTTGAGCACAATCTTCTGATCTCATATATATATATATATATATATATATATATATATATATATATATATATATACTAGAAGCATGGCCCGATCTCTCCCTCTTTTTATCTAAGTGTACAAGGGAGCCAATACATTTCTTCCCCTTCTCTCTCTCTTTCTCTCTCTCTCAAAAACACACATATGTACACAGAGACAAATACACACATCTATACACGCATGTATACAGAGACTGTGATAATTTGCATTTTTTACATAATATATATATATATATATATACTAGCAGCATGGCCCGGTTTTGCCTGTGCTTGATTCAAAAATTGTACGACTCATACAGAAATTGCTATCACTTGACTTAAAATATTTTTGCTCTTCCTTGCCTTTAAAGGAGTGCTCTTTGCCGTGCTGATGTTAATACATGCTTTACTTATTGCCTATCGTACACTGCGAATTTTTTCTAAGCTCTATACTAAACATTAAATCTGTTACGAAAAAAGAACTAAGCAAAATGAACACAAAACGATCAGCTTTAAAAAAAGACTCGTAACTGGAAAAACCGAATGAAAAAAGAATGTTAACAACAAATACTTTTTCACACTCAACCCAGTTCTGCGGAATCAGAATCAACGTTGAGTTTAAGCAAGAGAATGAGCCAATTTGAGTAAAGTGCCATGCAGATTTAAATTTTTCCCACTTGTGACGAATGCAGCTATCGAGTTTGTTTTTTTTTGCATGCTAGTTAACATTCGTGTCAGTCATCTGTTGGCTCTCACGCTGGCCAATAGAATCTTCCTGCCTATTCGTGGCAACCAGCTATAGGCTCTCACTCTGGCCAGTAGAAAATAGCCGCAAACTACATGAAAACTGCCGTAGAAGCATGAAAAATCGATTATTTCCACTATTGGGAAATGCAAAGTCGGTCTTGGACTTCCCGCTAACTTTGAACATGTGCATGCAAATTTTAGTGCAAATCCGTCGAAAATTGCGGCCGTCCATTCGTTACACACATATCTATATATCTGTAGAAGACAAAAAATCAATGAAAATGATAAGTGGAAAACTATACTCAGCCGAAACTTCATCGTTGATATATATATATATATATATATATATGTGTGTGTGTGTGTGTGTGTGTGTGTGTACGTGTGAGTGTGCGTATCTATATGTGTGTGTATGTGTGTGTGTGTGTGCGTGGTAGTAGAACTTGTAAACCAACTAACAAAATTGAGCGCTAAATTATAAACCTTAATTAAAAATAGAAATATTACTCTTGTAAAAAAAAGATAATGCCACAGCCTCAAACCATCAACACACTTTGCTCCTGCCATAGTGCACAGCGATGGTGAATATGGGAAACAACAATGGAGAATGATGGCCAGCAGCTCCACTGAAACCCTCTTGATGACCCCGATTTTGAAAATTTGACCTGCTGTCATATTCTAAATTAAAATATGAAACTATTCTGAATACGTGCAAATATTTTACATAACTTTCAGAAATGAACATTTTTTTTTCTCTCCAATATATATTTTTGGTACCATGCAAGATTTAAATTTCCTGTCTGATTTTAATTCTATCTTCTAATGTTAACCGTCGCAAGAGACAAAGACATCCCCTTTCCCGACGTTTTTATATTTGAATTTTAATGAAGTGCCTAAAGGGTTTTTTTGGGGGGTTTTTTTCTAATGCAGTTTGGTTATTTTTATGACTAATTTTGGAGTTTCTTTTGTTTCGATCGAAGTTTTGTTATGGCGCATGACATTATTTTATTTGCTTCTTTGTACTCTTTTCTGCGTCTTAAATATTCCTCCATTTCAGCTTACTACAGTACCTACCCCCTCTCTCGCTTTAAATGACAAAAATGTTACTACTTTTACGAGGACTCTATTGTTTTAGCAAACCTTCATAGAATGAAGTATGTCATTCTTCTATGAATTGAATATTACCGTCACATCTGGTTTGCTGCTTCTGGTATATATATATATATAGAGAGAGAGAGATTCTTTCTCACCACCGCAACATAGTCTTTTTGTGCATTTTCTATAAATGGTATTTTTTCTGATGAGCTGTTCCTTTTGCTACGATATGGATTCAAGCGCGGTACTAGATTGTTGGAAAGGTTTCCTTATTTTAGAGTTGAAATGGCTCAATTCAACCGTAAGTTCTATGTTAACAGTTTCTTCTGACTCTCTTCCGGTCTCTTGCCTTTCCAATTAGCTTTGCTCTTCAAAAATCTAAATCCAATGTTAATCTTTATTGTCAATCAAGTTTATATATTGAAAAAAAAAAAACAAGTTCAGTTGACCATTGATGACAATTCCAGAACAACGTAACTATAAACAATTTTTTTGCTATCCTTTGCCAGCCGCAATGATGGAGAAAGCATTACCTCGAACGATGGCCAGTGAGACACGCTGCAAGAGCCACTCCGTTTCGCGAGGCTCGTCCCTTAATCGAGACGCAATCGCGCCAATCCTCCGAAGGAACGCCATCGAACGAGGGTCAATAACCCCTTAAGTCTCCACTGCCACAGGAGTAAAAAAAAATCTATCAGCAAGAGAAGAATATTTAACTATTTTTTTTTCATCTCTGCGTCCCGGGCGACGGATCCTGGCTCAACCGCGGACCTGATCAAATTACCGGTTGATAATGTATCCGCACAGGTCACATCCCAAATCAACGACTTCCCCATTTTAAAAGGGAAAATGGTAATGCCACCCGGCCGTTTTCTATCACCGCGGTCGAGGCCTATGGGTTCGATTTGGGAATGGAACCCAGCTGCATCCAAACCTCTTTTGATGATGTCGTTAATGGCTGCATGCCGTGGAAAGTGGCCGGTACTACGACGACA